ATAATAAGTTCTAGATTAATAATTTTCATCTCAAGTTATTGCTACTACGAATCTGTTCTTGCTTTTTCGCGGAATAAAAAACCACTTTGAATATAACTTAAAATTCAGTGGACAGTGTTATTAAATTCTGTTTAATGTATTACTAGTTCACTTAATGTCGACTTACATTCTAGCGCACTACAAATATGAACAAATATATGGTTGCGAATAAAAAACTAAAAAGGATAAAACGTACATGGATCATTCGTCCTGCATGTAGGAAAGGAACTAAATATTTGGGCATGCATATTGTTTTCTTTATAGTTGTTTGCAGATTGGCTATCTAAATACATACTATAAAATGATGGACAATCAAATGAATGGAAGAAGCAAGAGTAAACGCATATCCTTGCCTGCTTTTCCATGTCGAAAAATGCGGTTATGTCTCGTTCATGTTCGATATGCATATCCTCAATTTCGACGGCTTTCTCTTGAGCCCCTAAGAGAGGATAAAATGCAATTTTCTGACATACGGATAGTTCGAAAGGAGATTACTATGCCCCTGTAAAAAAAAGATGACACCCTAACTCACTTCGTTTAAGTCCTGGAATAGCATCATAGTTTTGAAACTGATAGAAAGATCTTTCCAACATGAACTCCGGATTGACCCCTTCCACTCGAAGAAGATTCAGTACCATATTATAAGTGAGACGGAATTGTGAATTCAAAGGATCCGTTGCACCCTACGCATAAAAAATATTTGAAAAAATGTACACACAAAATTCCAAAATTGGTAGTGTAAGACTTTACAAAAAGCCGTGTCGGAAAAAATCGAGCCCTACCTTAATGATCTGTTTTGCATCTTCACTGCTCATCTTATGGTCCACCATAAGGATTACGAGACCGCGATCGTCTTTTCCTCGTCGCCCTGCTCTTCCAGACATTTGAATATATTCCCCAGACGTGATCCACCTGAAGAAATATCGAAAAATTTTCTTCTAGCAAAACATTGTTCACCGCAGCTTACCTGTTGTCTGCACCGTCAAATTTTCGAGCTGATGTAAATAACACCGTTCGTGCCGGCATATTTAGACCCATGGAAAACGTTTCCGTTGCAAATAAAGTCTAGAACGATAGAATGTATTGAATAAAACAAAAAGGATTAGGCGTACCTTCAACAATCCCTCCCCAAATAAGATTTCGACTGTTTCTTTCAATATTGGCAGCAAGCCAGAGTGATGAAC